TCAGCATGCAGATTTGCGAGAAATGTTACATTTCTCATGCGGAGCCCGATGAGAGGCGTTTTCTAGTCGTGTTTCGGAATTCTTCATGCTCCAATCAGCATTTCGTGCTAGATCTGTGATGCTGCTGAACTAGCTAAACAGCATTACACTACGAGGCCAAACTTGTCGCGCATAACTCCCAAAACTTGGAGATTTGTGTTGCAACTTTACCAACTTGACTATGGGGTGGACGTTTTTCCACAGGATACAAGGCGAAGGCCTGGGCGAAGATTCTGCAGCTGCTGGACCGGAGTGCCAAGGTGTTTGAAAAGCTGGAAGCGGTTCAGCGGGAGTACCAAGAAGAGGACAACAGTGTCGTGAGAACAAGTTCTACAGGTACTATAACGTCCCAACTTCTGGAACCCTCCGAGGAGAAGGAAATTCTGGCGAAAATGCGTCGGAAGCTGTTCCTCACCGAGAAAGTAACACCAAGTAGTAGCACAGTCACGGGTCTTTCTCGTGAAGGAGGGGAGCAGGTGGAGAAGATGGCCAGCGCAGCAGCGGCCACCCCGTACGCGCGTCGCCAAAGGCAGCTGCATTTTGAACGGGTGCGGCAGTCGGAGTTTCGGCGGATCCGGGGGGTACCAGACGAATTTTGGATGAGTCCGGAGCAGTTGGAAACCCTGCACGACGTCCCGTTGCTGTTCGCGTTGCCGTATCAAGTGCAAATATCCCTGGATGTGGTCTGGAAGAACTCAAGTTGTGATGCCGCATTTGGATTCCAAAAAAATCTGTATTGGATGAGCAGCAAAGGGAAAAGTGCGTTTTTTTCTACGCGGAGAGGGCATTTGCCATGTGGAATGGGCATCAAGAACCTTTCCAAAAATCTGTGACGCGAGGGCATGCATCACAGGCATCATGGCTCGTGCAAGACGTGCATGACAAGTGTCAGAACCTTCCAGAGGCCCGGGACATGTTTGCAGTTGATATGCCGATTTACGACTACGTGATCTCCAACTCGTTGCGGCTCTTCGGCACCTTTGTCGAAAACGAATTGCTATCCATTGCAAAGATGTCTCGGTCTGGAAGATTCTTGCAGGCATTTGCCATGCTGGTTTTGCATGACCCAGAAGTTCTGGAATGCGGGGTCTAGCATCACAAGCCTTGCGAGAGCTTTTCCATCATGCCTACTCCGCATGACAAATCCTGTCTCAAGGTGGCCAAAGATCATTGCCAGCTCTTGCTAAACACGCATGACAGATTTTTTTGTGGCTGTCAGACAGCATCACAAGCTTGTATCTTTCCACACCCAGACACATGTTTGCAATGCATAATTGCAGTTTTTGACCGGCCTGTCCATTCCGGGAGACATTTTCGTGGACGTGGGCGCGAGTATCAGAGTGCACAAGAACTTGTTTTCTGTCTCCCTCATTTATCATGTGCTGACTTCTGCCCATTTAATTTCGCGTGCTGCCTTTCGGCACTGTTGGCATGAGCATGACAAAGTCTTGTAGCGCCGGCGGCGCAACAAGCAGGACTACAATCCGTGCGTTGATGGTGTGCGGTCAACATATGCGGGAACTACTGTCAGTCTTGCGGGAAGAACGACGAGTCTGTTTTGCTTATTGTCTTTCTATGTCGCTGCTGCTCTACGCCTGCATCAAATGATGATAATTAGGAGGAATGGACGAGCATCAAGTTCTTCTGTCCTCGCTCATAGCAAACCAGGGCGCCTACGCGATTCCGATGGCGAAATGGCTCTCCTTGGGCGGGATTCCCAGTTGGCACAAAGTCAAGCGGACGACGCCGAGTGTGTTTCGGGACGACGACGGCAAACTGCGGAAGAAATGGTGGGGAAAGGAGTTTTTTGATAAAGAAGCATCGAAGAGCGGAGGTGATGAAGATTATACCCCTCTTAAAGACGCACAAGCAGCGAAAAGAAATGCGGCAAGAGATGAAGAGGAACAGCCTGCTCAAAAAAGTACTGGATTCGTTGATAAAGGAAAGGGGAAGGGCGATAGAAGGGAAATGATAGAAATGAAGCAATTACCTTCCGCAGTCCCGGCGGCCCACGGAACAATCATCCCGGAGGAAACGCTGGCCGCGCAAGTGACCGCTGCGGCGACGACCACGATGGTGGATGGTATTCTATCCACTGCAAAAGTATCGTAGTCGTTGTATAAATGCACGTCTTGCATTACAAATCTTGTTCCCAAGGCAAAATAGCATGACAAATTCCATTGCTCGCGCTGACGAAATTTGTCATGCGTTTCGTACTAGTACGATGCTTTTGCATTTCATACATTCTCGCCCCAGTGCAGTACGAACCCGGCCACGTCTACGCCTTTGAGCCGTTCCGCACGCTGTACCAAAAACTGTGCGGGAATGCCGCGATTAACGGGATCGAAAACTTGCACGCGTTCAATTTCTATCAATTGCAAATATGTCTGTGTCTGGAAGGTCGCAAAACTTGTCATGCAGGTTTTCCATGACGCATGAGGCCTGTCATACATGATCTAGCATGACGCATTCTGTGCGACCTCTATCATGCCTCGCCTGCATGAGAAACTGCCTCTCAACTTGGTCAAAAGTGCGCAGCTTTTGGTATTCACGGCGCAACATCACAGATTTTTTAACTATCCAGAATTAGCATGACAAGTTCCTGCTTTCCAGACCCAGACATATTTGCAATGTATAATTTCGGTTTGTCGGATCGGGAAAATCCAAACAAGTTCCTGTACAACATCCCCGGGCCGGACATGCGGCGGCTGAACTACCACCAAATGTATGTGACCGATATGAAATGCAAAAATGTCTGGGTCTGGAAAAAATGCCAAGTTTGTCATGCATATTTTCCAAGACCCATGAGGTCTGGAATGCAGGGCCTAGCATGACAGATTCTGTGCGATCTCTCATGCCTATCCTGCGTGAGAAACTCACTCCCGACTTTTTCAAAACTGGACGACTTTTGGTAATCATGCAACACAGATTTTTGCATGCTTCAGATTTAGCATGACCAGTTGCATTCTTCCAGACCCAGACATTTTTGCACTTGATAACCGAGCACTTGCAGCGCAAGCATGAAGACGCCTTCCGCGCGCACCACATCCAGCCGAAGATCGAGCTCCAGGCCCTGGATGAGTTGTACTTTCGAAAAGAATGTTTGCCGGAGGTCAGTTTGTTGACCGAACACGCGTGGAGCGTTCCACCGCCGAGACACCGGACTACTACGCAAGGAGCAGGAGGGCAGGAGGAACACCTCCGCCGGCATCAAGCAACTACGAAACGGGATTTTTCCTCCTGTCCGAACCGAAAGCATTTGGAAAAATTGTACTACCCAGAGGATCTTCAAGGAAAGATAAATCCCGTAGTTCCCCACCCACCCTTCTCCTCCCTTCCCGAATCTGAGATATGGAATGCAAAAATGTCTGGGTCTGGAAGGATGCAAGACTTGTCGCGCAGGTTTTCCATGACCCGGGAGGTCTGGAATGCAGCGCCTAGCATGACAGATTCTGTGAGACCTCTAGCATGCCTTTCCTGCATGAGAAATTCTTGCTCAACTTGGTAAAGAAGGAGGGCTCCTGTTGGTAATCATGCAACACAGATTTTTTGCATGATTCAGGTTTAATAGCATCACAACTTGCCAGCTTCCAGACCCAGACATGTCTGCTGTGGATATGAGATCCCCTTCAACGACTTTTTCCGCATCAACCGGGTGGATCTGATGAAGGTCGATATCGAGGGGCAGTTCGAGGCCTACTTCTACTATCCTATGTAAAAACGTCTCCACACCAGAGTTGTAATGCAAATCTGCATGCTGAAAATGTTTGCCATGCCGAGACCCATGAGAAGCAGTTTCTAGTCGTCTTTTGGGCTCTGTGATGCTAGAATCAGCATGATGTGCCAGATCTGTGATGCTGCTGAACAACCTAAACAGGATTACACTACGAGGGCAAGCCTGTCATGTGAAACAACCAAAGCTGGTGGATTTGTCTAGCAGATTTCCCAACCGGACTCTGGTGTGGGGACGTTTTTACTTAGGATATCTACGGGGCCTGGTTCACGCTGGAGTACTGGCGCCCGACTTTAGTCTTCGAAAACGACGATCCGAACGGGAACATACCGACCATACTGGAAAAAGATCTGTCCTACGAGTGCGTCCCCCTACCGGCCACGCTGAACGACGATCTGGTGTGTGTGGTTATTCTGTAATTTTTGTAAGGGGGATTTGTATAGTATTTGATATTCGGTAGTTGCTCTCTGTTGAAGAGGCTGTTTTACAGAGCTAAGGGAAGTTTTTCGAAAAAATTGGAATTGATCATGGAGGTGCAGGTGTGGTATGTCACTGCTAAGCACAAGCTTTTTCTACATAGATAGATCGTGACGAGACGGGGCGGTCACGCACTTTTGATGCGGATAATTGAATAGATGATTTGAGTACTACCACCTTCATGGATTGACATTGACAAGCGCGACATGTTGAAGCAGTTCTTTCTCTCAACTGTGAGTGTGCGCTGTGAAAGCTCACTTTTCGTTTACTGCAAGCAGGAACAGGAAGCCGCCCCAGGAGGACTTCGTTTGGCAGACCTGTGTTTGATAATGACGGGTAGGGTGGTTCTGCGGAATTTGTAGGCCGCTCAGGGTTTTACTTTTTCCTCGCGCTGATCGCGCCAAAATGCTTTCTCCGCTGGTCCGCGAGCGACTTTCATAGAGAGTGGAGAAAACTCCGACTCAAATGTCAGTGGAGGCGTCGTGACACAGCAGCTGTGCTGTTGAGAGCGCAGGAGATGCGGGTGCTAAAGGGGTGCTTTTTGACCGAAAGCGGTTCTTGTCTGAGTCGCTTTTCTTTGCAGCAGATGAAAAGGGGATGACCGCATGGTGAAAAATTTTGTGCAGCGCCACTCAGGCGGATTTTTGCAGTTACTATACTGGAGCTGCTGCTGCTCTACGTGGTGTTTCCTTCGGAGGTGCTCTATGGCTGATTCCGATCTTGTTGTGCTGCTCGAATTATTCGAGTACGAGTTGATTTCACTACACTAGGGCGTGTATGTTTGCCAAGATGTCTTTTGTCGTCTCGTCGTTCTTTTGCCATATGTTAAAAGGCCTGTTGCTCTTGGTGATGTGCTGTCATCCCACTCGTGCTCGCTGTGCCACGATTCGTTCAGCGTTTCTTCTTTTCCCGGTCGGCGCTGCGTTACAGCACGCGTCCTCAGCACCGATGGAGCTCCTGCCCGAGTCAGCGCCGCAACATCCTTCGCAGCAGATGAAACCGAGCCTGCGTCGGGAGGTGTCCTCCGAGATCGTATCCAGTGCCGCGGAGGTTTTGTTTACCGATGCAGATCATGACCAGCACGCTGGGACGGGGGATCATGTCGGCGATTTATCACGCGGGGATGAGGGCACTGGACGTACTACAATATCCGGCCCGGCAACTACACGAGGCCGAGAAGGAGCGACAGCGGTCGCGGCAACAGACTCGCATGAGGTGGATGCTTCGAATCAGGATCCACAAGGTGCTGATGCTGCAGCTCCTACACTTAGAAAACCACCACACGACGACGACGCTCACCAACGGCGCTCTACTCCTGCGCAAAGGCAGCAGCAACAGCAGCAGCTTTTGCGCGGGGAGAAAACTCCAGCTCATCGAGTAGACGCTGCGACTTCCTCTACACAAGATCCAGAAACGACCCGCCCGCAGAGTAGGTTACGACCAGAAGCAGAAGACGGCGCAAGAAAAATAAATCGCGGATACAGAGAGATAAAGGAAGAGCGGAAAAATGAAGCGAGAAAGGTACTTCACGGGGAAGAAACCACACAAACCGTAGAAGTTTCGGCAAGCGCAGCCGCAGGTTCGAGGAGAACAGCCAGGTTTATTTCAGCGGAGGAAGAACTGCAGGAGCAGCACGAGATAAAAAGTAGAATATCTGAAGCCGAAGCGGAACCCGAAGACGATATAACGCCTGCAGCCGGGTCCTCAAATGCAGCGACTGCGTCCAGTGAGAAAGAAGCGAGTATGGTGGCTGGAAACGTGTTGGATAGCGATAAAACAACGGAAATGGCCACAGGTTTGATGTTCTGACGTGCACAACGTGGATAAGCATCTTGTGTTTCATCTGTGAAGTTGCTTTTGCATCTTGATCTTTAATAGTACCGCAAGCGAAGTACATAGTGGTGCTTGGCGCCGGCGTCTTGGCAACATTTATTTCGAGGATCATTTTCACGTATCAAGGTATCTTTCGCACCACCACTGCCGGTGAATACGGGCAGACGTGTCCCTGGCTCCAGATTGACCTCGGAGCGAACGGAACCTCGGCGTCCATTTCCCGGGTCGAACTAACCGCAGCCACGAGCCCGATGAAGTTGCGCTGGACGTTTTTCTCGCACGACGAAGCCAGTTTTTACTCGGACGGACGGCTGAAGGGCAACGCCGCCGCTTGGGACAGCAGCAACAGTCAAAATCCGGAGGCGGACAGTGCGCGAGACCAGGGGATCAGGATTTCGGTTGCGAAGACGGCGCGGGACCGAAGTGCCACGTGTGCGGTCCAAGCGGGCGTCTGTCAAGGCACTTCCGCGGGGGACGCCTGTCCCGCAATCACGGCGACAAACAGCTACGACGGCACGACGAACGGGCAGGCGGACGCGGAAAGTCCCGATATGCACGAGTGCGAGACGATCAAGTACACCAATTCGATAAGCGGGGACGGTCCATATCCTATGTAAAAACATCCCCACCCCATAGTTGTCATGCAGATTTGCAGTCACAGGAAGATTTGTAAGGCGCATCCCAATGAGAGCGAGGCATTTCCAGTCATGTTTTGGACTTTGTAATGCCATAAACAGGATGAGTGTAGACGGCTTTGCGATGCGGCTGCACTTGCTAAACTGCACTACAATACAGAGAGGAACTTGTCATGCGTGACTCCCAAAACTTCTCGACTTGTGTTGCGAGATCCCCATCTTGACTGTGGTATGTAGTGAGGTCACCGAACGGTTCTAACCGGGGAGTTTTTTTGCCACCTACCGTGAAAAACGACCGGCAGTTTTCAAGCGGCCGGAAGGCTTTTTTGACATAAAAAATTTCCAATTATCAAGCGGCCGGGGCTTTGATAGCAAACAAGCCCGGTCGAAAACTATCGATTCGCACTGGATAAAACGACGCAGGGAAGCCGGCAAAAGGGGCGCCCTTCTGAGGCGCCCACCGCCTTGGTTTCTGGCGATTTGGGGCGCCCAAAAAGGGGCGCGCAAAAAACGCGCCCAAAATCAGAACAGCGAAACAGCATGGCACGGCCGCGATTTCGGAGCATCTTGGGCGGCCGCGAAAGCGGCCGCCTTTTCGCCGGTTTTAGAGCCTGGGAAGCTTTGCAAAAAGCGCCGGCGTGAAAAATAAAAACGCGAAAAATAAAAAACGCCTCAGACGCGCAAAGCCAATCCGCATGCTATGGGCCCGGTTTTTCTTCGCTTTTTGGGCGCCCCCCGTGGCACCCGGATCGGCCCCATAGCATCGGGGCTGGCTTTCGGAAAGGAATTTGGGAAATGTGCCAAAATTTGTGATGTTTCCCAAGTGGCCGCCATACCGTGCGGCATAACGTTACTCACGGCGGTATGGCGAGCCCAGAAAAAACAAAGGCGCGGCCAAGGCGGCGGTCGGCAAAAAAACGCCCACGACCTCACTACCCCCGCCCCGGCGGCTATATTTGGTATGGGGACGTTTTTACTTAGGATAGCCCAGACCGCTTCGTCGCAGATACCGGCAGTGCCTTTGGCACCGCATCCGTCACCTGTCGAAACGTATCCACTGCAAATACGTCTGGGCCTGGAAGGATGCAAGGTTTGTCGTGCTTGTCTAGCATGACTGAAGAACTTGTGACGCGTGTCCAAGTTAGAAGAGACCCTGTGCTTTCTTGTCATGCAAAGACGCAGCTTGTCATGCGGAAGCTGCCAGATTAAGCAGCGCAGATACACCTTCTCATGCTTGGCTGTGCATTTTTACAGGGCATTCACTAGCACTCCCAACCCAGCATTACAAGTTTCCAGACCCAGACATCTACTTTGCAATGCATAAAACGCAACCACAGACCACTTGTCCGGCTACCGCTACGTCGTAGTCGACCTTCCGGGACAGACAGACGCCAGCTATCCGAGGTTTCTGTCCGTCAGTATGGTGAAGGTTTTTGGCTCGAGTGGCGCAGAGGCAGGAACGACAGGTGCAAAGGTAGTCGCGAGTACCACCACGACCCCGCCCTTCGCCTCCGCCTGCCACGGCTGCTATGAAATGCAAATATGTCCTCTGGGTCGGGAAGATTCTGAGATTTGTCATGCAGTTTTTCCAAGCTCCGCCGAGTCTGGAATGCAGAGCCTAGCACCACAGGATCTGCAGCCCCTTTGAGATGCCTGCTCTGCATGAGAAATGCCCTCCCAGCATGACCAGAAATGAGCACGACCTTTTGCAAGTCACGCAACACAGATTTTTGTACGATCCGCAACATGCATCACAAGTTCGCATCCTTCTAGACATCCAAGCATATTTGCAATGCATAGCTGCGGAGCGCGGACGAAAGAGTGCTGGAGCCAGTGCGGGAAATCGTCCAGCGCCGCCAAGTATTCTGTGCAAAAGTATCGTACTCGTATTGCAATCATGCATTACAAATCTTTTTCCTAAGGTAAATCAGCATTACAGATTTTCTTTCCCATGGTGAGGAGATTTGTAATGCATTTATACGAGTGCGATACTTTTGCAGTTCATAACAAGGAGTGGTGCGCAGCCTGCGCTACAGAGCCGAGCGAGAGTAACCGCAAGGGGAATTGCTGTTCGTTCGACAAAGCGACCGGGAAGGTGAAACCGGGCCAGGTCGAGGGCTGTATGGTGATGAACCAAGATCTATGAACTGCAAATATCCCTGGATGTCTGGAATCTTGTGATGCAAGGAAGGGAATAATGAAAACACTGTAATGCGCTGCCCCGCATGACAAGTTTTGCCGTGGTCTTGAGTTGCGTACTCCGCATGAGACGATGTTTTTTTTTTTTGCATGACAGGCACGACGAGGAGCTCTTCGCGGCCACGCAATACAGAGTTCAGAGGCATGCCAGACTAGCATGACATATCTCGCATCAATCTTCCAGACCCAGAAATATTTGCAGTTGATAAGACCCCAATCCCGAGCGGTTTTTCACATCCGACTACTTGACGCATTCTCAGCAGAGCAGTTACGGTTATCGTAAGGGAAAATCCTTCCTCCCCATATCGAGAACGAAATATGTGATGCTGTATTTGAGTACACAAGTCGACTTGTATTGCTAGAAGGCCAAGAGCCGCAGTTGTGGCCTCGTTTGCAGGCAATTTGTCATGCTGTTTCCCCCTTCCAGCTGCCTCCTGTCATGCTGAAGATGCAAGGCTTTCCCACGCCACCCAGCGCTACAGTCCGCATCTTTTCCCTTGTAGCATGACAAAATGATTTGTGTACACAAATCCCGCACCACAGACTTCCATTTCGATATGGGGAGGGGGGATTTTTCATTTTGATGTCGGTGCCTGCGTGGTGTTCCCGTTTCCGCAGCCGGACGATCTGATATCAAGAAGAAAAATCCCCCCTCCACGTATGAAAACGGAAATCTGTGATGCAGATTTGTGGTCACAGATCAGCTTTGTCATGCTAGAAGGAAAGGCATGCGGAGTGTAGTACTGGCTGGCGTGGGAAAGCCTTGCGCCTTCGGCATGACAGAGAGCAACTGGAAGTGGGAAACAGCTTGACAAATTGCCTACAAACGAGGCCACCTGCGGCTCTTGGCCTTCTAGCATTACAAGTCGACTTGTGTACTCAAATACAGCATCACAAATTTCGTTTTCGATATGGGGAGGGGGGTTTTTTCCTTTTGATATCTGATCCGCCCGGACGACACCTGCTTTTCGCCAAATAACGGTTGGTATGAGACGATTGCGCAACCCCACCCTCCCTCTCATTTGTCATGCAAAACCCGAAGTCTAGTGCTTGCTTTGTGGTATTTTTCGCATGACAAAATTTTTCCGCAATCCCAAGCAGTACTATGGTCGGCGCATGAACTTGTCATGCACAGGCTCCACAAGTGCTGGTGTTTGTATTGCTGTCCATGCCATACAAGTACAACAAATGAGGGAGGGTTGTGGTCTCTCATAGATGGAGCAGTCTGGACACGAAGAGTTGCGAGTGCTGGCACACGTGCGGGGAAAAGTATGCAAGAAAAAAACTGTGTAAGTGTAAATCTGTGATGCAGAAGATGCAAAACAGTTACACTTGTCATGCTGGAAGTGCGTCATAGGCTACTATCATACGTGTTTGCACGTACGTAGCTGCGCGTGACAGGTTTTCCCTGTAATGCAAAACAAACTTGTTATGCTGCTCTTCCTACAAAGTTACACTTACACAGTTTTTTTCCTGGATAAAAAGAGCGGGAAGTGCAGTAAGTGCACCCCCGGGTCGCCGACCTCGGAGCATTACGAGGTATGCATTGCAAATATGTCTGGGTCTGGAAAAATGTCAGGTTTGTCATGCTCTGCTAGCATGACTGTCAAGTCTGTCATGCAAGGTACTCAAAGCCGCCACTTTTGTGTCATGCAAAAACCTAGTTTCTCTTTCTCATGCAGAATAGGCAACACCTAGCAACTCAAAAACCTGTCATGCTGAGCGGTCATTTCTGGCGTTCTCTTGCTTCGCCAACCAGCATCACAAGTTTCCAGACCGAGAGGTATTTGCATTTGATACGAAGGTGCCTGCTGCAAGAAGGACGACGCAGCGAATGCAGCAGAGTGTGTATTACAATGAAAAATGCCCCCACCGCCCCCGAACTTGGCAGCATTTGTATTGCAAACCTTTCCAATGGAAACATTCCCCGTCTTGCATATCTCAGCATCACAAATTTTCCTTGCTGAAAAGCTCAAATTTGTGTTGCGAAGGAGCCCAACAGCAGTCGGATCTGTTATGCACAAGACACCTTGATGTGCACCTAGATTCTGCATTAGAAAGGCTCGCAGTCCTTTCATGCAAGACAAAAAGCTTTCACTTGGAAAAATTTGCATTACAAACTTCTGCAAATTCCGGGGTGGGGGCATTTTTCACTGTAATAGTGTGCGCACACGGTGGCGTATCCGGTGGCAGATCTGACCAACGTGACGAGCTTTTGGTACCACGAGTGCGTGCTGCTCTCTACGAGCACGACGAGCACTACCAGCACGACTAGCACTTCCACGACCGGCACCATTGCACCGCAAGTGCGCGCGTTCGAGATGGGGATACAGACGAGCAACGAAAATGGTTCGGATTTGGACGTATCAAATGCAAATATGTATGGGTCTGGAAAGTTGCAACTTGTAATGCTGGTCTTGCATTCCTGTGAAATCTGTGTTGCATGACCAACACAAGTGGCAGCCTCGCACGTCATACAAAAACGCAAGTTCTCATGCGGAGTTCGTATGATAAAGCGTTGCGCAGACTTGTCATGCTTTCCTGCATGAGGAAGTGTTTTCATCATGCACATTTTATCGTCACAAATTTCCAGACCCAGACATATTTGCAATGCATAGGACGCTATCACGAGCGACGCGCATTTCAAAGCCGCAATTGCAAAGGGCTTGGCGGGCTGGTTTGCCGCGGGCGGGGGCCAGGACGCGAGCAGCTTCGAAACCACGGAATTTCAGGACAGTTTGACGATAACGAAGAAAACATTTTCATCAAGTGCCGCAGCAGCAGCGTCGACGCTCCTGGACGGGGGCATGATGAAACACAACCATTCCGCCGGTGAAGATCTTCGCGCTACTAGTTTTCTGGAAGAAGTAGAAGTAGAACAGCGACTGCTGGACGACCACAACGAGAGCAGTGAGAGCAAAGTACTGCCTTCGAAAAGAACCGCCAATCGTCAACTACATGCAAGTATCGAATGCAAATATCCACCCTGGACGTCGTCTGGAAGGATGCAAGGTTTGTCATGCACATTTTGCATGACTCCTGACGTCTGTGATGCATGCCCTAGCATCACATTTGTGGAGGCTTCCTGATGCCTATTTACCGTATGAGAAATGCCGTCTCGCCGTGGCAAAAACGGGACCGCTTTTGCTGTTCATGCAGTACAGATTCTTGTAGTATCCAGATGCAGCATCACAAGTTACGTCCTGCCAGACCCAGACATATTTGCAATGCATAGCAAGTAAAGAAAAACAACACCTTGTCCGCAGGTCGACATCATCGGTGCCAGCTCCTGCTTTCGGAAATAGTAAACTGCGAATGGTTGACCTGCAACAGAAAACAGCTTTATCCAAAGCGGCGAGGCGGAAAAAAAGCGGTGCAGGTGTGGTCCTCGATATTTCCTTCACAGTCTATCCAACTTCCTTAACCGAGGCGGCGGCATTGAACAGCGCGTGGCCGTCCGCGCCCGTTGGCGGTGCGCCACCGGCGGTTATGACGGAGGGCAACATGAACGGCGGCGCGGCTGCCTTCGACTCGCTGGTGTCCAATTTGAGCACTGAAATCACGAGTAGCTACGATGCCGCGCTCAGTGCGAGCACGGCAACGGACGTTACTAGCGGTATTTCTTCTATGGGGGTGTCAGGATCGAAATCGACAAAATCGAAAAATTTGCAATGCATAAAATGTAGGGCACGCAATGCCTGTGTTGGGGAGCAGGCAAATGAGACCGATTGCGAGCCTGTTTAGGGGAGGGCGATGCGCTGCCAGAGTAGCATGACAGGAGCAGTGTTCTTTGCCCAAACAGCATGACAGACTGGAATTTGGTGCTCCCGAAATTTGCCATGCGCCACTTGGAAACTGAGGCTCCAACCGGTATCGATTTTATGCATCACAAATTATTTCGATTTTGTTGATTTCGATCCTGACAGTTCCATATCTTCTCAAGACGCGGCCGCGGTGGGAGCCAGTACTGAAACCCAAGGTGGCGCAACGTCGAGTAGTAGTGCTGGTGCGGTCGATGCTGGTGAAGATGAGAAAGCTGGCGCAAACAATGCCACTTCTGCGGGAGACGAGACAAACGCAGCGAAGGGAATTTCCATGGTGACCCTGCTCTACCTCGCTATCGGCTTCGTGGTTTTCATCATTGTTACGGGCGTCGCCCTCGCTTTGTTCTCCGGCGAAGATGCCTCAGCCGAAGTAGCGGCTGCGGGCCCAACGGTTGGAGCTGCTCCTGGTGCACGACCAAGCGCCTCAGGTCGTCCGCCGCTCGGGAGTACTAGTGCAGCGAAAGCAAAGCAAAAGAGTACAACTCCGGTAGCAGAAGTAAAACAAACAGAACTGGCGCCGGATCAACATTCACCTGCGGATCAAGGAGAAACTCCCGAGGGGGCTGCTACAGGTACTCCTGCAGAGGCGGATGGTGCAGCTGCTCCTGGAACAGTAGGAACTACTCCTAGCGGCGAAGGACAAGAGAACGGAGCTGCGGGAGGACAAGAGACTGGAACAGTTGTAGAGGCTGGAGCTGCGGAAGGACAGGAACAGTAGGGTGCCCGAAGGACAAGAGACTGGAGGTGCGGAAACAGAGAAAAAAACAGACGCGGAGCCACTTCAGGAGACGCAAGATAGTGCAGCGACTACCTCGTAGAACAATGGTGCCAGGAGCATAATTCAATAAAGCACGAATGCGTCGTGGTCATTATTTGGAAATCCGAGCTGGTTCATTTTGTTGTTACTTCATCTCTACTTAGGCCCCACGACGAGGCGGCATTGATGCTGCTACAGCAGGAATCGAAAGGGCCGAGATTTTGGCCGGGGCGCTCATCAAATATAACAAGTGGCACCACCCCCACGCGTTCTTTGTTGTGGTCCGCTTGGCAACATCCGTGCACAGGCCGCTCCTTCGGGATGATCCGTTTTTTTTCTTGATAGTAGAGAGAAGCTCGCTGTAGAGGTTTCCTCCTCCCCCTGTACGCAAGTAGAGGAGGGGCGGGAGAAATTCTAGTCAACACCGTAACTTCCTTCCACCTCCAAGTCGTTTGCGTAGAACAGCCTTCAGCTCACTTTTACTGAAGTAAGACCTCCACAGCGCACCAGTGCAGATTCGATTTCTGTAACTACGTATTCTAACTCAGCAGTACACTACTTGCTGCTCTCCGCTTTTATTCTTTGCAAAAAAATGGTTCGCGCTTCCAGCCTGGTTCTCGTGCTGCAGGCTTTTATGAAATGCAAAAATGTCTGCGTCTGGAAGAATCCGAAATTTGTTATGCTGTTTTTGCATGACACAGAATGTCTGTCATGGAAGCCCTAGCATCACAGATTTTCAGAGGCCTCCCTGATGCCTATTCCGCATGACAAATGCCCTCCACCACGCGTAGCACAAACCGGACTCCTCTTGCTGGTCATGCAAGACAAAATTTTTTAGAGTCCAAAGTTAGCATCACAAGTTCCAACCTTCCAGACCCAGACATTTTTGCAATCCATGGCTTTGTCTCTGCAACAAGAAGTGCAGAATGTGTTCGGACTGCGTTTGCAGGCACGTGCACGTGCTCGCTCGGCTTCCCCGACCTACGGTCGCCGCCTGCCGCTCCTGAACACACGCGACGATCATGCCCGACCGTCGCGTTCCGGAACCCCTCCGGCCGCCGGGGCAGTAGCCACTCACAATGCTGCCCCCGCCGGTCCGTCTGCGGTTCTAGTAGGTCCGCAATCCTGCTTGAAGGGTGCTGCTCGTACTCCGGCCCGCGCCATTCCCCATGAGCCCCGCCGCGTGTGTTTGCCCCCGCCTGGAGCGAAACCTGAAGTGAGAGAGGTTGACATAGCGGTGACAGGGAGGTTCGTAACGGCAGACCCAAATTGGGAAGAATTGGAAGACGTCGAAGGAAGTTGTCCCGACCCAGATTCATCTTTCGCCTCTCTGCATAACGATTTGAACGTGGCAGCAACAAATGCAGCAACAAATGCTTCTCGGGCTCAGACTCGGGCGGAGATTCTGGCTCAGACAACTGCGGCTCAGGCTCCGGAGCAGATTTCGATGGGGCAACGCTGTTCGAGGCGCTGCAGTTCTCGGTGCTCTGCGTGCCGCCATTCTCGGTGCGGTGCGTGCTTAGGATCGGGGTCTACCGCAATTGCCGCTTACGGATAGGCCACTTGGGAATTTTCTGAATCTTGGAAACAGATTTGGCATGTGTCGATATAAATCTGATGCGAAGCAGCTCCGTGAAGGCTTTATTCAAGCGCGTCATTGCAAAAATCTCCAAATTATCCGTCGTGCTGATGAGCTCACACGGATCGGAATCAGTCGTGTTTTGCAATGCGAAGTCTTATCGGGTCGTTTGGTGCCGCAGAAAGCTAGCAGCATGCCACGCGTCGCTTGCGCTGTGAATCAAGAATTCACAGAGCAAGCGACAGCACGTGGGGCACTCATTATTTGAAAGTCTCGCATGCAACAGGGAACAAACTCAGGGTTTGGGAATAAATTGCGCAAGAAATAAGTACGAGACACTGAGTTCTTACACATGCTTACTTGTGGTCCTTTACCAATTGTGCTATGCAAGAGAATGATCGTCATGGCCGATAAAAACTTGGTCCTTTGTTTTGGAAAATTCCCACTTGGCGCTGTCATGCCGTCACTTTTGGCGGACTCTCTTGTGCGGGCGCGGCTGTTGGAGGTTGTATTACGGGACCAGCCCAGATTCCTGTTGGTGTTGTCGGAGCAGCCAGCTTTCTTACCGGCATGGCCCGTCTTAAATGCCTAGAACAATAGATACACTTCTACTTCTTCGACGGTGATTGCGCACTTTTGCAGCTCATATGAATATGATACGGACACCAGAATGAAGGAAAGGAAGTTCTCGAGCTCGATGTAAGTTTTACTTTTACTTCGAAACAAACAAGTATTTAATATAATAAAACAAGTATTTCATGGGTTCTTTCCAGCAGGCCGTATTTATTTTTAAAGCAAGTTGTACACTACCGGTAGCAGTGACTAAGCATTTTTTCAAGTAGCTTCTTTGCGTAGAGGGATTTTTATTGAAATAGCGCTAAAGAAAAAAGGTGAGTAATCGCGTTTCCACCTTGCCGCATGTCTACAAACAAACAAACAAGCATTTCATAAAAAAACAAGTATTCAAAACTAGAATACATCTCACGGAAAAAAAAGGCCCCGTCTTCGGGCGTGATATTTCCGCGCGGCCTACAGGGGCACTTTAAGTATTTATCACCGGAAACTGAGGAAACTGATGCTTTTATTGAGAGGAAAAATCCCCCTTCCCCATTATTGAAAAGGTATGCTTCCGAAAATTTGCGTTGCTGATTTGAGACCACAAATCACGTCTGTCTTGCAAGAAGACAAGCGCAGAGGTTTCCGCGCCAATATGGATGCGATTTGGCATGCTCTTGGGCCTAGGCGACAACCGTTTCTAGTGCTAAACAACTAGACCCAAACTCCCCTACCTAGGCTGAGGATCTGGCTGCGATGCCTTACTGCAATACAGCGCGCATTTGTGTACGGAAATCCAGCGTCAGAGGCTTCGCGTCGATATGGGGAGGGCGGGTTTTTCCTTATGATAGCTTTGCTGACTGCTGTATGCTCGGGCGTGACCAAAGAATGCACTCCGCCGTCCGTAGTTTTTGAAAATTAAAATTTTGAGTTATGTATTAGCTGCGCTTTATTCTTTCCTAAGGACATTCTAAAGCGACAGCTCCGAACAGAGTACAACATCCATCAAGTGCGGCGCTTTTGCTTTGTATTTAATACGTGTGTTGTATTTATACGCGGCAGAAGATCACGATAGCACCACCTCCGACGACGAGCTCTAGCCCCATGTCGGGGACCAGTAGAGCTGCTAGTAGGATTATACTAGTTCGGTTTTGTGAAAAAAAGTACACTGCTCCTGCAAGCACAGGCAGCGGCATCCGCTAGAGTGCAGGATGCACGATGAAAGTGGAATCAGGGTTGTAGCCCGCCACAGCCATCGAAAGACCGTTGGAAAATCAAAAATCAACACGACGCTACTAGTAGCGAAGACACATTGAAAGATGCTGCCACCAGAAACATGTTGGAACAGAGCCCGCCTCCAGAGCGCATTAAGTGGGCCGCCCGCCCCAGTCAGGGAGGCCCGGGCAATCCCTCCAGGATCCGTGTTCACTTCTTGAGACGTTCGTCGTTGTTGCAAAGCGAATGCGGACGGTAGTTCTGCACACTCTTGCTCGTCACTTGTAATGCACTCCTGGATCCGAGCAAAGTCTATCCGTTGTAAATCGATCATACGAGGAAGCACGCGCCTTGGTATGGAGTGAGGTCGTATTCTGGAAAAATCGAAGAACACGCTTCAAGGTCGGTCGTTGGTAGTCGCGATACATGATCTTGATAGAAGTGTTGTGGAATTTAATTGTCTCCCGTGGAGCTTATGCAATGAGAGGACGCCAGAAGATCCAGGTCGGTTTGTCATCCCCCGAAGAAGATGTCGGCTTTTGTATTAAGTAGTGCTGTCCGTAGTTTCAAAATATGATGCAGAAGATCATCTTCACGGAAAAAATTATGTTGACAGAAGTCGAAAGATCCACCTCTTGAAAATTTTTCCGTTCCATCTACCATTACCAGAAAACCCCCCAAATCTTCTCCTCGTAGTCCGGTAATACGTCGGCAAAGGAAAACCTTTTCTCATCTTCAAAAAAGCAACAGCTTAGCATCTCAGTATTAAAACATCGCAAACAGAAGTCGCAGTATAGAAAAAAAACGCGTGATATAATCATCGCCACCAACAACTACTTCGAAGTCAGTACTTAATCAAGTAGCTTTAACTTCCTGTTGAAAACTCCTTCCTTCCACCTCCAAGTTGTTTGCGTAGAACAGCCTTCAGCTCACTTTTACTGAAGACCCCCACAGCGCAGTCCAGATTTGATTGCAACTACGTATTCTAACTCAGCTTTTCTTTGCAAAAAAATGGTTCGCGCTTCCAGCCTGGTTCTCGTGCTGCAGGCTCTGTCTCTGCAACAGGAAGTGCAGAATGTTTTGGGGCTTCGTTTGCAGATGGGACCTAGTTCATCTCCGCTCCTCGTCGTAGACGAAAATGGTGACCTGCACCCGCCCACCGGAGCGTCGTCGTCTTCCGGCGGAACAACGCCACCGGCCGCCGTGGCAGTAACGAATCACACTCCTCCTCCTGCTGAGGCGTCCGGTTCTCTGGCTGATGGGCCCAGTGCCGCTGCCTCTAGCGCTCGCCGGAAAAGTCTTCCTCCGAGCATGCCCGTGATTCGTGAAGACGGTTCCTTTCATGTTCCGGCTCCTGGTTCTTTTCATGCTCCGGCTCCTGCTTCGGCGCCCCCTCAGATGTCGATGGAGGCAGGCCCGTCTCGGTGCCGTCAATGTTTGCAAGGCTGCAGGTCTCGGTGCTGTGCGTGCTTGCAGTCGCCCAAAATAGCGGTTGGCGCTTACGGATAGGCCAGTTGGGAATTTTCTGAGTCGTGGAACCTCGTGGAAACAGATTTCTTGGCATGTGTCGGAATAGATCTGATGCGAAGCACCGTGAAGGCTTTGAAGCGTGTCGTTGCAATGCTCAGATTCGTTGAGCTGATGAGCTCACTCGGATCAGAAATTAGTTCTACCGGGTTTGGTGCCCCAGAAAGCTAGCAGCGCCCCACGTGTCGCTTGCTCTGCGAATTATTGTTCAGAGAGCAAGCGACACGTGGGGCGCTCATTTGCAAGTCTCGCAGGCGACAGGGAAAATCTGGGTTTGGAGAGTTGCGCAAGAAAGTATGACTCACTTAAACTTAGTTGCACGTGCTGACTTGTGGTCCTTCACCAATCGTGCTATGCAACAGAATAGACAACATGACCCACAACATGATCCTCCGTTTTGGAAAATTCCCACTTGGCGCTGTGACACCATCGCACACGTCGGATGCGGTGGTCTCGTGGCGGGAGCGTTTTTGACGGGAACAGCCCAGGCTTCTGCTGTTGTTACTGGAACAGCCTGTTGCTGCATTGCGGGTGCCCATGGTACCTGCGTACGTCACTGCGGTAACCACGATAGAAGGTAAAAATCTGTGGTGCGCTAACGCTCTGCAGAGATTGGAGGGCTTCAGCCAGGAGCGTGGAACTAAGTACTTATTTCTGCAGCAGTCGCGTGAACGGAAATCCCACTTTATTCGGAACTATGTTACTTAGTTTTACATGTGACGCAAGCACTCCCGATGTTGGTGTTTATTTCGTAAGCTGCGGGAGAGCAACTTTTCACGATGTTGATGCTTTGCTGACTGCTGTATGCTCGGGCGTGACCAAAGAATGCACTCCACCGTCCGTAGTTCATGAAAGACTATTTCCAGTGCGCTTTTTCTTTTTTTTAAGGACATTATCTGGTAACCAAATGCGTGCGCGCGCGCGCGCAGAGCGCGCGCCGGCCCACGAAGCCGGCGCGCGCG